GGGAAAAAAAATAAGTTTATGCTGAACTTCAAATTTATGTTAAAAATTAAAGAATTTAGGCAGGTGTGATGGTGCGTGCCTTTAATTCCAGAACTCAGGAGGATGGCAAGTTGGAGGCCAGCATGGGCTCCATAGCAAGATCTTCTTTCAAAAACCACATATTACATGAATCAACCAACCAGCAAATCCACAAAACAAAAGCAAACAAACACTCAAAAAACAAACCAAAACAACCAAGCATAAATATTAAAGGGTTTCTGTGCCTCTGATTTGTGTCTGAATATCTTTAAACTGAAAATCTTATTTCCTAATGAATTAGCATAATTACTTATTATTCTAAATGTATATGTGATTTTCTTCAATTGCTTCTAAAGAAAATCTCACTTAAACATTGCAGAGCTTATTCAAAGGCATGCTATACAGATACTGTTCATTAATATTTAAAAAGCTGTATAGTAATTCATTGAACGCATAAATTACAGCACCCAATATTCTTTTGACAAGTACTTGAACATTTCCAGCCTTTACTATTAAATAGTGGTGTGATGAAAAGCTTTATGCATACGTCCCTTTATTTTTGTTATATTTTGGCTGGATTCTTAGTTGTAGAAGTGAGTCAAAGTAGGTAAATCAGAGACTAAATGCCCTCAGAGATAAGTTGAAAAGTTTCAACATGGAGGTGAGTGCGGCAATAAGGTTTTCTATGACTTTTAAATCAATGACCTGTTGTCCTAGTGTGCAGTGCCTCTTATCAGGGGAAGGGAAGCTCCTAGTGTGAGGAGGCCGAGTGTTTCCTCAGAAGGGCAAGTGTGTGCAGTGACTTGAAGGCAAAGATGTGAAGTTTTGTTGTTTGTTTTTGTTTTCTTTCCATATGTTATTTCTATAAACTAATTTTCAGAAGCAGAATTACTTGGGCAAATGGATGTAAAAGAACATTTTGCTTTTAGTAATTGTTCTTTTTTTTTTTTTTTTTTTTTAATTCTTTTTGAGACAGGGTCTCCTTGAAGCCCCAGCTGGCCTGGAACTCACTATGTAGACCAGGCTGGCCTTGAACTCACAGAGATCTGCCTGCCTCTGCCTCCCAAGTGCTGGGACTACAGGTGTGCGCCACCATGCCCTGCTAGAAGTTCTTTAAAAGTTTATTTTGCTGGGTGTGGTGGCGCATGCCTTTTTGATTGTTTGCCAAATTAGAAAACATTAAATAAAAATATCTAATAGTATTTGAGGACCTGGGTTTGATTTCCAGCATGACGAAAACAAACAAAATCTTGTATTGGCAAAGGGCACAAGTGAAATGCATCCTTTTCATTGCTAGCCTGGAACTCACTATGTAGACCAGGCTGGCCTTAAACTCAAAGAGATCCACCTGCCTCTGCCTCCCAAGTGCTGGGACTAAAGGCATATGCTACCATGCCCAGCTTGAAATTATATTATTAATGGTAGAGAGTTGTGGAGCTGCTTTTAGGTGGATGATGATTTTTTTTCTTCTTCTTAGCTGACTTTACAAGTGAAATTCAAAATATAGTCTCATTTTTTTAATTCATAATTTAGATTTCTGCGGAGATGCATCAAACTCCCTAGTTTAAATGCTGAGATCTGTATTAAATGTTTGATAATATCTTTCTACCCTGACTCTTTCCAGGTATGATCAATAATTGATCAGTCATTTTTAAGGGTAGTACTGGCTTACGGTTCTTTTCCTGTATGCAGGACTTGTCCATTGCTAGAAGCAACTCTAATGGAAGCTTCTCTGGTTTTTCTTTGTAATTGAATTTATGAGAAAGCTTGGGAAGTAGGAGGGTTGTATTCAGGAGGTGGGAAGTCTTCTGAGGATAAAATCCCCTGTCTGGCTCTCATTGCTCCTTCAAGGGTAAGGAAAGAGGAAAGTTCAGGTAAAATGTAGGGAAGTGGTGAATAATGTTGAAACAAGTATTGGTGCCTTACCTAGCACCAAGTTTCCTCAAGTAGAATCTCTTAATAATTGTAGCCTCCCCAAACTGTTCTAAATTAAGTCTCTACAACCAACAGTTTGTAATGTATGTGTAGTCTTTAGATACAAAATTACATTTAATAAATTTGTTAGTTATTCTGAACTTGCTCTGGATAGACAAAACTAAGCAGCCCAAAGTAAAATTTAACTAACACGAAGAAAAGGAGAGTTAAGGGCTGGGGACATGGGTTAGTGGTTGAAGTGCTTGCCCCAGCACCCATGTAAAAGACAGGTGCAGTGATGCTTGTCTTTATCCCCAGCACTGGGTGTTTGGCTGGGCAGGATGATTGTATAGACAAGCGCATCCCTGGAGTTGACTGGTCAGCCAGTCAAGCTGAATAGGTAGGCTTCAGGTCCAGTGAGAGACCCTCTTTCCGAAAAAATGAGGTGGTGAGCAATAGAGGAAGATACCCAACATTGACCTCTGGCCTCTACCTGCACACATATGCATGTATACCTCCATATACATGTGTGCGTACCACAACAAACATATACACATGTATACATGCCCACACAAACAAAAAATAAATAAATAAAAGGAAAATTAACACATTTACAATTACTGCATTTACTTGTCTGTCTAGTCTCATAGTTTTGATACTCATGAATATTTTATGCATTTTGGAGTCAGTCTCATTTAAGGACTGGGGAATAAAAATAAAGCTGGCAAGCTGTATCCATTACTTTTCTCATTGCTCTGATCAAATACCTGACAAGCAGCTTAAGGGAAGAAAGGTTTCTTTTGGTTTACAGTGGGTGGGAATATAGCCCATCATGGTGGGGTAGGTATGATAGTAGAAGTGTAAGGTAGCTGGTTGCATTGAGTCTGCAATCAGGAAGCTGAGGCAAGACAGGAAGTATGGCTGGGCTATTCATCAAGGTCATCCTCAATCACTCACATTCTCCAGCAAGACTGAACCTTCTAAAGATTCAGCAAGTTTCCAAAACAGTGCCAGCAGCCTATGGGGGATGTTTCATATTCTAGTCATAGCACTACTGTTTACTGAAAACAGGATAACAGCCTTTTCAGGAAGAGTCCATTATTGACTCCATTTTTAAAACAGAGAAACTGAGGCATAAGGAAATTAACTGACTTTCCACAAGTTTCATTAACTTATTTTAAAAGCACACATCAGTGTGTTCTGCCACTCTTGGCTCTTTAAATGATAATTTACAGTTTGAAATGTTGATTTTTATATTTAAACTATTTAGCTGATTTTTTTTTTTTTTTTTTGGTCTTTTTGAGACAGGGTCTCCCTGTAGCCCCAGCTGTCCTGGAACTCACTATGTAGACCAGGCTGGCCTTGAACTCATTTTATTATTAATTTTTAAAAATTTTTTTCAAAGAGGCAATTTTTAACACATTTTTTCCAGAAATAACTTGAAGCAGATTACATAATATATATATATACAGTTAAGTTTGAGAGGGGGGATATTAATAAGAAATGAAAGACCAAAGGATTTGCTGACATGGGGTCAACTTTGGTGGAATAATGAAGGTTTCCATTAGCGCTGTTCTTTTTTTTAATTCTTTTTTCTTTTTTAAAATTCTAACGAGTTTATTGGGCTTGCTAACAGAGCATAGGGTGGGGTTTTATTTACAGAAGAGTGGGCTGTTCTCTCCCCCTCCCCCAACCCCATTTACAGCTGTGCTAGAAAGACCATACTCAAATATAGATCCTGTGACTTCCCAACAGCCACACAAAATGGTGAGATAGGTGCCTCATGGTGTTCTGGGCTTATATATCCTTAGCCCCTCCCTCACATGTAGCTAAGGTCAACTGATTAGGTGGGAGGGGTCGACTGACTCCCTTCTCGACTCCCTGATGAATGTGGGAAGGAGGTGTGACTATAGCTTGTCTGCATAGTGGTTGGAGGACACTTCCAGGTAACACTCCAGCCCTGCCAGCTCTTATATTCTTTCCATCAACTTCTGCAAAAGTCCCTGAGTCTTGGAGGGGGTGGTAGGTGTGGGATAATCTTCCTCCCATTGTGGCAAGGCATTGAACTTTCAGGTCTCTGCATCATCTGTTTTCCATAGGCTGTTGGCCCATTTCAGTGAGATTCCAGTTACTTTAAAAATGCAAACAGGAAGAAGCAAAAATATCTAAATAAACAGTGGCTGCTATAATAACCTATGAGCATAAACACAAATGCTTGGATGATACTTTAGCAGGTTCATCACATCCTCCCCTGCCACAGGGAGTTGGCCTGGTCTACAGTACCAGATGTATGTTCCACCTCTAGGAGCGGGCATTATATCTGATCAAAAATTTGCTGGTGGTACATACACTAGCTGCAACACTGTTGTATCAGCAGAAATACAGAAATATCTTGTTTGGCATGTTGATAGTGTAGCATTGTTGAGCAGAATTACAGGGGCTAGTTCTCCCCCAGTCATCTGCATATCACCTTCTGGCACTATGAAAGCCACCCATCCAGTGGCAGGGAGTTTCCAGCTTAGTCCAAGCTTGATTGCTCCCTCTCCTGTGCTCATATCATTCAGTGTCTTCAGCAATAGGGTTTTACTGTTCACTTCCATTGTACAACCAACATTATTAGCAATGTCTTTATTGTTTTGGGGACCGCTAGGGCCCCTCTGCCCAACTTAGTTGATGTATTTTAAATAAAATTTTATTACTAGTATATCAACCTGACTAGTGACCTATTCCTCAGAATATTTTGTCTTGAAGTTTCCTTTAGGGCTTTTGTTTTTAAAGAGAATGTACTCAAAATTAAAGTATTTTTGGCTTTATCTGCTGATATGAAGATAACAAATGGTCATGCTTGCTACATAGTTTGTTGATGACTTATTTGTTCTGTATTGGGCCCAGGGCCAGCTTCAGTAAGATGTATTGTTTTATTTAAAGAATGTTGAAAATAAGTATCTTTCCAGTAAGATTTAAAGATATGGTGTCAGTGGATGACTTATAATTCACAAATAAAAACTCAGAGAAATGCTTTTTAGCTTCTAACGTACTAAAAGACTTCATTTATTTCTTTATTGCAGAAACATGGACAACCAGTTTCCTAGACAAGCTGTGCCACCTGCGTTCCCAGTGTACCCTGCTCTCAGCCCACTGCAGATGCTGTGGTGGCAGCAGATGTATGCTCACCAGTATTACATGCAGTAGTAAGTCCATCCCAGCTCCTTATTTCAGGGACTTTCTTAATTGCTTGATATTCTCTTTTACCTTGAGTAAGTTGATGTGGGATTTCATTTGCTGATGTAGTCAGTTGATTACTGAAAATTATTATTATGAGAAATTCACAAACTTCTCAGCAGATACACCATTTTAAATTATTTGGCTAATGGAAAAACCATTCGCCTTCATTTTACATCAGCTAAACCTTACATCTTGGCTCCTTATTCTTTCCCCTAATTACATTTAGCAGTATTCCGATGCCTTCTTTAACATAATAATAATATATAAATTCAAGAAGAGGGTTTCAATGAAAAGCTGCAAATCAACTTGTAGAGATAAATAGTCAAATGAAAAGGGGAGAAAAAAAATCACAGGAAGTGTGGGGCTCAGTGGCGCATGCACGCATGCACACGCGCGCACACACACACACACACACACACACACACACATATGCATACTCACTGCACTGTCTTGATTCTGCCTAGATGAAAGAGTCTCAGCTCTGACTTGGTCCTCAGCCTTGTGCTCCTGTACTGCTTGTGTACTTAACAATGTCTGGCTTCTACCTAATGTCCTCCTCTGGTTTGTGTGATCCTATTTTTCTCTTTATTGTTTTTATCTTTCTGATCACTCTTTTTGTATTTTGATCACCCATGTTTTCCTTCTTTTAAACAGTAACATTCCTTGCTCATTTTGACAGATATTGCTGTGTCTGCTGTGTGCGTCCTGGCACCTAGGACTCTTGTCCTGTGGCAGTGCTTTTAGATTTCTTTCTTCCATGGCTATTCTTGGTAGCTCTCATGAATGACTCCCAATTCTTCATCTTCTGTGCTTCATCTTTTGTATCTCTGCTTAGTTGAAAGATTTTAGCAATTAGCTTTTACCGTAAGTTCAGAACATTCTAACTTTGGCTCCTTCATTCTTTAAATGCCTTTTCCTCCTGACATCACCTCTACTAGTTGTCATGAAAGTTCTTGACTTTAACAACATGGATACTAGTTTCTGTTAGCCCTGAATCTAGTAACTTATGCAAATGAGATAATTGAGCCTCTGTTCTCCCTCTTAATCATGTTTCCAAAATTTTACCCAGATCTTTTCTCATTTAAATTCATTTTACTTCACATTAGCCTTTTTTACTTTTAGAGTCTTTACTGTCTCGTACTGTACCCATATACTACTTCAAGTTAACTGTCTTAATATATTATTGAATCAGGCATTCTTCTTGCCCCAAATGTCTGCTGATTTTCTTGTCTCCAGCCTGAAGGTGATATCTTTGCATAAAGCTTACTGGTTTATGAACCTCGTATGCTAATGTTCTATCATTAGTACTTGATTTCAGGGAGTCTGTACCTTTTATGTTGTCATGGTGATAGTTATCATTTAAGTGACTACTTTGTTGTGCTTAGTACTCTGCTTTACACCCTTTATCTTGATTGTAAGCTTCAAGATAAGAGGGAATTACTGTAACTTGCTATAAATCATATTACCCTGTGTACATCATTATACTTTTGAATTTTGGGTCCTTACCTTTAAAATAGCTCCCCCGTGTATCAGAATAGCTATGAGTTAAGAAATGTTTTGGAGCCGGGTGTGGTGGTGCAGGCCTTTAATCCCAGCACTCAGGAGGCAGAGGCAAGTGTATCTCTGTGAGTTCAAGGTCTACATAGTGAGGTCCAGGCCAGCTGGGTCTACAGGGAGACCCTGTCTCAAAAAGCCAAAAAAAAAAAAAAAAAAGAAATGTTTTAAGAACTAAGGAGGCTTACACAGAAACAAAGTATTTGTATACTGGTTTAACTGGGCATTTATAGCCCAGGGAACATTTCCTGAATTTTCTTTAGCTGCCTTGACTAACTATTAAAAAATTTAAGCATATAATTAAATGCAATAGTAAAACCAATCCCTGTGTACTTATGGCCCAGCTTCAGAATTTACACAGTCATGTCAGTCTTACTCTACAGCTCTCCACTTTCCACTGGATAATTTAAAAACAAATACCAGCTATGTTACCTTTTACTGGGAACCTGTAATATACATACTTATTCTGATCTTTTCTTTCTAACACAGGGTCTCATGTACCCTAGATTGACCTCAAAATGGCTTTTAGCCAAAGATAACTTTGAACTATTGATCCTTCTACTTCCACTTCCTTAGCGGTAGGATTACAAGCAGGCATGTGTCGCCATGCCCAGTTTTATGCAGTACTAGGGATAGAATTCAGGGCTTCAAGCATACTAGGTAGGCACTGCACCAGTTGAGCTACATTCCCAGTCCTTATTCTGACTTTTGTTTTGGTCTTTCCTTTAGTTTTTTTGAGACAGTCTTTCTCTGTATCCCTGGGTAGCCTGAAACTTGCTATGTAGAACAGGCTGGCCTTGAACTCATAGAGATCCCCCTATCTCAGCCTCCTGAGTTCTAGGATTACCAATGCTTATTCTGATACTTTAAAAAAAAGTTCTTTAAAATTTTTTATTATATTAATTTATTTATTGTGTGTGTGTGTGTGTGTGTGTGTGTGTGTGTGTGTGTTTATGCTGTGGCACACATATGGAAGCAGAGGACAACTTGTGGGAGTTTCTCTCCTTCTACCGTGTGAGTCTCAGGGATCAAACTTGAGTGGTTAGACTCAGCAGCAGGCATCTTTACACGCTGAGCATCTTGCTAGCTGTAATCTGTAGTCATCTTATTAGCATTTTCAGGACCGTGATTCTCCCCAAGTTGATAAGAACCAATGGTCCCTGGATGGAGTTACTAAAAAACCCAATTGGGGTTGAGGAGTGGGTTATCTGAGATATATTTACTGTTTTAAAATACTGGAAAAACTCACCCTTAGACAAATATTTCAAAGTATGGTCTGAGGGAAAGTTGGTGACTTGGGTGTTCATCCCATGTGGAATAATAGAGTCATTAGTGAAAGGATTTGTACCTACTCCTTATCAGCGTATAAGCTCATTTAATTAAAGAGTGATGACCATGGCCATTGTTATATCTTCCTCCTCTCCCCTTCTGTCTTAGAACCAGGCCAAGAAAACTTCTTTTCCTTAGCTATACATACCGTCTATCTTTTTTTTAAAAATTGTTTTCATTACATTTTGTTGTATTTTATACAGAATATCTCAATCTGAATCATCTTTATAGCCCTGCCCCCACCAGAACCCTCCCATAGCCCCCTCACTGGAATCCATATACTCTGTCTTGGGTGTTAAGGCCCACTGTGTCAAGTCAGTGTCCCCAGATGTTCCCCAGTGCAAGTCCATCCACTTGCTGTCTAGTTAAATCCCTCTCATCTATCTATCCAAACACCTATCATTTTCTTTCTTTCTTTTTTTTTTTTTTTTTACAGCATAGGGTGGGGGTTTACAGAGGAGTGCCCCCCCCATTTATGGTGCACTGGAAAGTCCATACTCAAATATAGATCCTGTGACTTTCTGACAGCTGCAGAAAATGATGAGAGAGGTGCCTCCTGGCATTTTCGGCTTATATATCCTTAGCTCCTCCACCACATGCAGCTAAGGTCAACTGATTGGGTGGGAGCGGGTAGCTGTCTTCCCTTTGACTCCTTGATGAGCATGGGAAGGAGGTGTGACTATAGCTTGCTGGCATAGTGGTCAGAGGACACTTCCAGGTAATACTCCATCCCTTTCTCTGGCTCTTACATTCTTTCTGCCAACCTCTTCCACAAAAGTCCCTGAGCCTTGGAGGGGGTGACATACCATCAATCATGAGTCCACTTTCTCTCTGGAAATTGTACTTGCCCAAGAAATGCAGAGCAAGAGTTATGATGTTTGATATTAGATTTATAAAATATTTACGACTACCTAAGAAGTTTAAAAATACATAGTATGGTAATTTTTTTTCTTTTTAATATTTTGGTGACTATTTCAGTCAAGCTGCAGTTTCAGCTCAGGCCACATCAAATGCCAGCCCAACCCAGCCTGCTGCATCCCAGCCTTTAAATTTGGCACATGTTCCTGGAGAAGAACCCCCACCAGCTCCCAACCTAGTGGCCCAAGAAAATCGACCGATGAATGAGAATGTTCAGATGAATGCTCAGGGTGGTCCAGTGCTAAATGAAGAAGACTTCAACCGTGACTGGCTAGACTGGATGTACACGTTTTCCCGGGCTGCAATTCTCCTTAGCATTGTGTACTTCTATTCTTCCTTTAGTCGGTTTATCATGGTGATGGGAGCCATGCTGCTGGTTTATTTGTGAGTGATGGGCATTAACTATTGTGGTTTCTTTTAATTACTTTGTAAAACTGCTTATTATAGACTCTGGCATGGGTTAGTCAGTTGTGAATGTTGAGTGAAGGATTGTGAGTACTGAGCTTGGATAGCTGGCATGTTGCTGCTAACCAAAAGCAGGGGCAGGATATTGAGTAAGAATATTTACCATAATTGTTTAAAAGCAGAGTTTTGTTTTGTTTTGTTTTTACTGTATTTTATGTAAATTATTAATTCAAAGAGACATGGACTTTCAGTTACTTAGAACTTAAGTATATAATGAACTCTCCCTTTTAAAACATACTCCTTGATAGTGAGTCCTGTAGACTCAGGCCCTAGTTTTCTCACAAGTACACTGCTTTTACCCTCTCCTTCCTTCTCACTAAGGGCAAATGAATATTTAGTTGTGTTTCATTTTGAAAAAAAACCAAAAAGATTTTGTGATTTGATGTGTCACATTGAGCTAGTTAAAGTCAGTGGTAGACTTTGGGATTTGAATTGGGTTTTGCTGTTACTACTTTGAGAAATTCCCTGACCTGAAGTAGATTTGTCTCTATTGTTTTTGATAACTCCAGTCATTTTTCTCTTGTGGGACACTATTTTTTCTAGTGTTAAAAATACAAGCAATTGAGGCTTATCTTCTTTTCTCTTTATTTTACTGAACAGACACCAAGCTGGATGGTTCCCTTTTAGGCAAGAAGGTGGTCAGCAGCAGGCTCCCAACAATGTTGAAGTTAACAATGATGGGCAAAATGCAAACAATCTGGAACTTGAAGAAATGGTAGGTTATGGAAATGTGTATAGACTTGAGAGGTAGATAGCCCTATGTGGGACCAAAATGAGGAAGGTTTTTGGATGCTCTGTTAGTATCTGTGAAAGGTACTGGCATATAAATTGAGGTGGTCTTATCTGGGAGAACTTAGAATACAACACTGAATTAGTCATATGTTAAAATTAAGTGGGAAGGATTAGCATTCTCTCTGAAAATAGTCCAGAAAGAAAATTAGGCATGTGGTAAGAATTCATTATATTGGGAGTTGTCACTTTTAAACTTATACACTACAGACTTATTTTGAACGTCACAAAGATTTCTAATGGCCACAGATCTATCATTTCTTATTACCTACTCATATTTATTCTTGCTACAAAAAGTACTTAGCTCTCTCCTTCGCTGTTATAGGTTGATCTTAGTGGTTCGGATTGCTCAGGAGTGTGTTTATCTTGTTTAAAAGGAGCGCCTTATGGATGATGGACTTGAAGATGAGAGTGGAGAAGATGCCGGTGAAGATGCCAGTGCAATTCCAAGGCCTGGACTGATGGCTTCAGCCTGGTCTTTTATCACCACCTTTTTTACTTCGCTAATACCAGAGGGGCCTCCTCAAGTTGCCAATTAGACCTGAAAAACTGTGCCAGCTGCAAAGGAGGGTATGACTTTAGGAAAGTGATTTAAATAACAGTGCAATGTCCAAAACAAGTATAACTTTCTTTTGCTGACCATGTACAGAGGTTGTCTTTTCTTTAAGCTTCTCATATGAATATTTTAAGCACAAATGGACTACTAAACGTGTGATTTTTTTTTTTTTTTAATTAAGATCCTAACAGAACATAGCATAACAATTCTGGTCTTCCAGGTTTGTTCATTTCAATTATGTGCAGTACACCAAGACAGAACTATTTATGTGTCATTTCTTTAAAGAGCTGCTTTACCTTTAAATGTCTGTAGTTAGATGGCCAGCCCCTCAGTGTGTAATTTGAATAAATATATCTATTTTCTGTGAATTATCCTGAAACTTTTAAACAGAAATGACCTCATAGTTTTTAAATAAAGATTATTTACCTAAAATGTGGTAGTAGCATCTTGCCCAGCCATAAAGCAATAAACTTCTCAATAATCTTGGCATCTGAATAAATGATGGAAACTTTCTATTTTAAGGGCATATGTCCCATAAGTTGGAATTAGTACCTTAAAAGAAAAGAAAAAAAAAGGCAGCTCTTCAATAGAATTAAGTGATACAAAATGTTTGATACAGGTAGTACTTTTATAAAATATGCTGGAAATTGCTCCCTGTAATTTTTAAATAAAAAGCCAATTATGATAAACAGTCTTATGGAATATTTATTCAAACTCTTCAGTAGTATATCATTTTATATGCAAAAGTCTATGTAAACTTCAGAAGGTTTTAGAAGGGTTGTTTGAGGCCTTAAGGTTATTTTGACCTTCTTCCATTCCAGGGGGTATCCCTCAGCTTTCAGGTAGCCTCACATTGGCAGAAACGCTCCTTGGATCAGATCCTGAGGCACCTACTGAATGTGTATGTGGGGGCTGGGGGATACAGAGATATTGAAGCCATTGATAAGTTTCTTCTTTTGGGAACTAAGGAGCTGCGGATTCAGAGGGAGCAGGCAGCATTGTGGGGATGCTGTTGGTGGGGAATGTTGCAATGGAGGACAGTGCTGGAGAAGTTGAGCAGGATCCTATGTCTCAGCCATAGGCAGAGCCTCAGGAGGAAGATATTAGTTAGATTTGCCTTGTGAAGGCTGCAGCTGTGGGTTCTAGGAACATTAGAAGGTGTTTTTTGTTTGTTTTGTTTCTTCTATGTTGTTAGTTTCCTTGTGTTAGCTTTACTTTCCATGTCTTGGTCAAAAACTAGTGTCAGCTGTGTTTCTTGGCACCTGGGGCCATATGGTGCCAAGATAGCTGTGGTGGCCTAAAGATGATTTTTCATACAGCAAGAGACAGCAGCACAGAAGGCCAGGGACTGATCTTAAGGCCAAATGACAACCAGAATATGTGTTTCCAAGGACTTTTTACATTGCTTGTACTTCACAGAAAGGACTAGGTTTTCTCCAGTGAAAGATTATGTGAGGTGGGTAAAAGGAAGGAGGGGTTCAGGGCTGGAGAGTCAAAGACCTTTGCTCCATAGTAGGGTGGCATAGTTTGATGTCACAACTCAGTATACTAACTAGTTTCTCTGGATCTTTCCACCACCACTACTGAAATTAGACCTTTTAAGTTAGTGAGAGATATACCATGTTTGGAGCCACAGTTGTGGAGTCCACTGGCAGTTTTTTGCCTCACAGTTAAAATTCTACAGTATTCTGATTTCTACATCATCTTTTAGTAGTCTGTGGTAAGTCAGGCCTGATGTCGATTGAATTTGGATAGTGGTGCTAGAACTGCAGGACTAGACCAGGCTCTGGCAAATGGGGTCTTAACTAGCAAATTGGGAAGCCAGTGGGGCCAGGTGGTTCATCTCCATAGGCAGCAGCACTAGCCTTGTAGGTTTGAACTGCAGTCTGGGAAAGTAGTAGCAACTTGCTGTGTGGTGGGTACAAAACGTGTTCATTTTATCTCATATCTCGCACAGTAACGTTTCAGGTATTTTGGTATTCAGATATTTAAAAACATTTATACAGAACAGAGAAATCCATCTTAATGCTTCTTGAATACGTCTGCCGTGGACCAGTACGTGCCTTCTCTTAAAAGACACCATGGAAGCCAGGTGTGGTACACCTTTAGTTCCAGCACTTGGGAAGCAGAGGCAGGTAGATCTCTGTGAGATCAAGGCCAGCTTGGTCTACATAGTGAGTTCTAGGCCAGATGGGGCTGCAGGGAGACCCTGTCTCAAAAACAACAACGAAAACCAACCAAACAAAAAAAGGCACAATGGAGCCTGGCAAAAGTTTTCCTCATAAAGAGAGTATAGAGTAATAACTTAGTTCTATTTCAGAGCTCTGAGGTTTCTTTCCTAGCCAGGAGCCTTAGGAAGTGGGGATGTTTGCCCCAGTAGCAAGGCTTCAGCTCTAAAGATACCCTGTCTGCCCCCCACAGCAAACCCTGTGGGTTGCATGTGTCCTCCCTTGACACCTGAGGGTACATCCTGGAAGCCCCAGTTTGGGCACCAGTTTGAAAGTCATCTTGTTAAAACTAATTCCCAGTCCTGCTGCTGAATTCTGACTTCCTCTAACTGACCTACTTTTCAAAATGAGCACATCCCTGCCTTCGCACACTGCTTGTGGGGTGTGTGCAATGGCTCAACCCCCTCTGAGTGATCCAAGGCCACAGAAGAAGATGGGAAACTATTGAATCAGGATCTTTATCAGCCACTGTTCTCATGGAAAGACCACAGAATAGTTTATTGTTGGGCCATTCTGTCCATTTACACAATGGTAAAAGAATGCTTTGAGACTGTTACTGATATTCAAACATTTGTTATATTCCTGCTCTATACTAAGTGTATACCCTTCATTTTAAATTATCCTTGAAACAACTCAGGGTGAGTTTCACAGTTACTTTTTCAGATGAGGACACCAAGACTTAAAGAGCTTGCCTGAAGTCATGTAGCTAGTACATAGAAGTCTGCTCTACTTTAAACATTGCATTTTTTAAAATTAGCCAATTACATATATAAGGCATTGCGGGGAGTGGGGGTTGTGTGTTCTTGGCCTGGTGCAAATTGTGATGAGCTTGTCTTGCACCAACCCTACTACTGTAAAAGCAAGAAAAGTCAGACTGTACATATCTGGTAACAAATTCCAGGGTGATCAAGAAGGGGAAGGAGGTGTTTCAGAGAGCTTAAATCAGTGGTTTGTACTTCCTGATTGAAGAAGGGCTGAGAAACTAAACAGAATTTGGGGGAGATGTATCAGGACCAAAAGTAAGTGTTGAGGAGTCAAGTACTCTTAAGTTCTGTGAATTGTCTTCAAAATAGTGAAGATGCTAATTTACATTAGAAAATAATGACACAGGACTGGGAAGATAGCTCAGTCAGTAAAGTGCCTGCTGTCCAAGCTTGAGGACCTAAATTCGATCCCAGCTAAAAAGATGGTCATGGTGGTGGGTTCTTGTAATCCCAGTGCTGTGAAGGTGAAGACAAGTGGACTGATGGGGCTTGCTAGCCAGTCAGCCTAGCCTAACTCATGAGCTCTAGGTTCAAGCAAGAGACCCTGTGCAGAGAAACAACAATGGCTCCCATGGAATGGCACCTGGAGTTGCCCTAGGGCTTCCACATGCATGTACACACAGCTGCTTATACACCAGCACACATGAACACCCAGGCACACAAGGACACAATGACACATATTTTAGTTTCTATGCTGTTCTCTAAATGAACGGAAGAATGTAAGACTAACAAGATAATAGCAGGGGAATAGCTGGAAATCCAAAAGAAGGCAAGAAGGTAGAAAAAGGAAAATAGAACAGATAGGAGAAAATAGAAAACAAGTTTGATTTGCACCTCAAATTACCACCTGTATTAAGCACACATGGGTTGTGTTCCATTTTAAAGACAATACTGTCACTCTGCATAAAAAAAAAAAAAAACTGAACGATGCTAATGTATGGATACAGAAAAACTGAAATAAAAGACCTATCACGCAAGGAAGACCTGAGCAGAAGCTAGTGTGTTCAGTACACAAAGACATTCAGGTAAGAAGCACATGCTAGAATAAGAGGGTTATTTAATAATGGGAAAGATTCCCTTTTGTGGGAATATGCAGCCTGCTTGGGTAATTGAGCTACTTTTGAAGCACAGAAAGGTACCTATGGTCCTGCCTCACTGTGGAGCTGGTCAGAGGAGCCAGACTTGGAGTTTGTAGAAAGGCAGAGATGAGATGGTGAGAGTGGTAGTAGTCAAAATGAGCTGGTAGTCAAAATGAGGCAATTGGTGTCAGAGTTCCTGCTCCTATTCAGATGGTAGCCTCCAGAATTTAATGCCTTTTTGGATAAACCTCTTACCTATCATGAGCTGTCCCTTCAATTTTGATGACTCCAGGCTGTCATGGAAGTTTTCAGTTTACAAGGGTGTATAGAGGATGAGAGGTATAGCATGTTTATTGGATTCTGTTGTGAACTCCACACTCATCTCGTGCCCTTATTAGCTATATTTTTACTAAGAGAAAAGTAGATGTCAGGAATGGTCAGCAACTGAACAAGGGATAGTAAGAGGATGGGGGATTATCTGACTTCAGTCCCAGTAAGTCTGGTTTGTCACACTGGGAAATTAGAGCAATCTTAACTAAGCCTTGGTGTATTGCTACTTCAAGATTGTGAACCTCTCCTTTTCCTCCTAGTGATGGACAGGATCAGCAGGGGTAGATAGCTGCACCTTGTTGCTTTTAGCACTAGGTGGTGATGTAACACCATAGATCTCTATGCTGTGGACAAAGGTTACCTCAGCTCTCCAGTACACTGTTGGAGAGGATGCTGCCTTATCTTAGCATGAAAAAGCATGGAAGAGAGGAAATTTGCCTTTGATAATGTGGTCCTGATGCTAAACTCTGGGAAGATTGGAGACTATGGGTGCTAGTTAGCTCCAGGACTGCAGGACTGGCAGCCTAGGCTTTGCGTGGGTCAGACTCCTGGTTCCAACCATCCCTGGTGAGTCAACTTGGGCATTTACCCACCTCAGAGGTTTTGTGAATGAGGCAGGGTGTCTGGACAGCTAGAAGCTTGGTACTGTGGAAAGTGCTCAGGAAACCAGATATTCAAGGATTCTATTTAGGGGTATGTATATATGAGGGTTGGGGTGCAGGCCTGCTTCTCCTAGCCACATCCCTATCCTTCTCTATCTGTTCTGGGAGCTTGCTGGGGATTGCAGATTCTTCCTACAAGAGAACCTGTGTCAGGCTCTTCCCTGACATCCTGGGAAACAACTGCAGAGCTGCTGTTTGTAAAGCCATTCTGGAGAATATCCTCATGAACTCAGTGTGTTTCCATGATTAACTTCACTATTCAAGTCACGAGAGACAAAGGCCAAGGAGCTGCCCTGTCTGTGAGGGACTGGAGCAGATGAGGAGTCATGGCAACTAAGTGAAAGGTGGTTCTTAGACAAAGGACATCAGTGGGACAACTGGTGACAGCTGGATATAGTCTGTGGCTTAGCTAATAGTAACGCTTCAGTGTTCATTTCATGGCTTTGATCATTGTGATATGGATATGTTAACATTTGGAGAAGCTGGGTAGAGGAGGATACAGGGATTTTTTTGTATTTTTTTCATCTTTTTGTGAATTTTGAAATTATTTCAAATTTGAATGTTAAATGAAAATGAGGAAAATGTACAGAATTTACCTTTCCATGATTATGAAAACTTTTTTTTTT